ATATTACCCGTAATACATAGTATTTATAATCATATTTAGTAAACAGTGGTAGGGTAGACACCATAGGTGGCCACACCGCACTGGTTATTATTGTTCCTGGCCATTTTAATATAGCCCTGAGCTCCCCATTGAGCGCCCCACGAGTTCTTAATAAGCCAGTAGTCCTGTCCCTTCTCACTGCCATAACCCACAGCCAGAACTCCGTGATTAAGACTCTGAAAATCGTTACGACAGGCGCTGTCAACATAGACACCGCTCGTGTAGAGTTGGAAGTTTTGGTGGCCGGCATCGATGGTCACGGCTACCGGTCCCACGAGAGCCACGACGCTCTTGAGGGCTGACTCCACACCGTACTGTACAGTGTTTAAACCGGTGACGGTAACGGCTTTCTTACTCTTGGAGTACTGACAGATTCCCGAACCGGCGTGGTATGGGTAGTCCGACTCCTTTTCAATACCACCCTCTTTGATGACCAGTTCAATGGCGTCCACGACGTCGCCGCCTGTTTTGCAGACATCCCGACCGGGATAAATACAGTCCACTATCTGTTGGGGCGCCAGTGTCACTAGATTTCCTGTGTTGATAGCGTACCGACCTATGGGACAGGTATGTGTTATAAAAGATTTTTTAGATTCGTTTTAATGATTAGTTTTGAATATTTGGTTAATTTCTAACTAAATATTATACATATGTCAATGGGAATAACCAAAAGTACCTTTTACCTATTAGAAGGAGAAGCATTTGACTAAGCTTTTAATAGTAAACCAATGCATGAACTATGCTTTTGATGAGGTTTTACAAAAAGTTCAAAAGATTTAATAATTGTTGTCTGCCTCATATTCTAACGTTTCATTACCAGGTACAGTACAGTAAGTGTATTACATTTAGTGTAACATATTAAAGCAAGGATATTTATAATATTTATATTTGGAAAGATTTATAAACAAAACTTACTTTCAATTGAATCGGTGGTCGAGAATGCGAAAGAGGAATCGCACTATACATACAAATCCAAGAATTATTTTATTGATTATTGTTTATAGTGTTTGTATTCAAGTAACACATACACTTTGACTCTGACTCTTGACGGGTGTGACCACACCTTTGGTTCTCCAGTCGATACTTATGGGAAGACGTCGGTTGTCCACATCCGCAGCATAAGTCTTGTTCACATGGTTTGCATTCACCTTCAGGTTCAGGAGCTGTCGGTACTCCTCGTTAGTCATGTCTGCAAACTGGTTGACACCCAATCGGAAAGTATGGACACCTTTGTCGGCCTCAGCGTTATGGGCAGTGATGTACGCGTAGTTGATCTCAAAGATCTGCCGGCGCACCGACTCCTCGCCCTCACCACCGAAGTAGGAGTTCCCACGGAATTCATTCTGCAATGCAATGATTAGTATTACAATTGTGTAACAAATGTGACCCAAGAATACATACCTTGAATGCAATCCATTCGCTCTCCAATTCCTGGAGGGGAACGGCGCTCACCGACACTATTAAGGCTAAGGCTATGAAGACTTTCATTATTGACAGTCAATACCTATCAACTTGTTTTGGAACTGGAGGTTTGTGTCGCTGTTTATATACCAAGCACATCATGGTGATAATTCAGTGAATTGGTCTAATTTTAATCTTAAATTATGTTAATTTAAATAATAAATGATAATAGTACCATTTAATCTTGATAATATAGTCATATGTTTTTCTAATTCTGTGTAAATTCTTCAAATATTATCTTTAGTATATTATGTGAGAAATTTATACGAATGGATCGTTTCTATTGTAGAGTAAGAATATAAAACCTTGATAACTAATATATTGATTATATATAAACCAATACACAAATGCTTTTGCAGTTATCATGTTTTGAATTTTTACTCAAAAAAGTGAAACGATTTATTGGAATACATTTACCACGTGTGCTC